GCAGACCAGGCGACCGGCCGGCGTTGGACCGCGCGCGCGCGCGCGCGGCCAGGGATGTTTGGCTGCGTATTTGCATGAGCTTCCCACCCACCTGAGCCCAGCCGTCAGGGCCGCTCCTCACCCCCATCCCTGTCTGGCGTGACCCCATCCTCAGCCTCTTTCTAAGGGACCTCCTCAGCACATTTGTATTTTTATATCCGACTCTTTGTTTACCGGCTCATCTCACGGTCGTGCCCTCCCCCCACGGTCTCAGCCACGCTCTTCTGCGCCTGGCGGATAGGACGGGTGTTGAGGCTGGGGTGGGACCAGCCCCCACCATGGTACCCAACCTCATGGCCAGTCTGCCCAGGCCTGACCCCAGACGGCTCTCAGCAGACTCCTCCCCCCGCAAGGTATCACCTTCCACGGGCCCAGACCTGATTTTACCTTGGACTCCTGTGTCCTGCCCCTGAGGACCCAAGTGGGGACTGCTGTGCACCTTCGGATGACACCTATGGCCCTGGAGATGTTTTCAACCCAGGGGTGTCCTTTGTAAATGTTCCTTCATCTTCACTGTACCAGGAGTGTGTGAATAAACACAGACCTCCCTGTGTGTGTGGCAGCTGCTTCCGACTGCTCAGGAGCCAGGCAAAAATAGCTACGAGCCCTTTTTGGGGAAGGGAGCAGGTACTTGGGAATTTCTGGTGCATGCTGCTGGCTGGGGAGGGTTGCCAAAGCAGGGCCCAGTACCACCTAAGCAGGACAGGTCACTGGAGCTGGGGCTGGGACAGAAGCATAAAGCTATTTAGCTAGATTCAAAGTCTGCAACCTCTTGTGGATAAACCCAGATTGGATGGGGTCAGTAATAGGCCTCAGGGATATAGGTCTCCCAGTGTAGTGTGTGGAGGGGTGGTGCTGAGCTTTGCCCCAGGGGATAAATCACTGGTGGTGGGTGCAGTATTTTGGGGAGGGTGTTTGAGGAACCTAGGAGAACTCTGAGGAACCCAAGAAGGAAACCAGAAGCCTAGGATTCAGGATCCAGCTTGACCTGGGGTGTATTGGTTCACACGGGCCTGCTCCCACTAACTCTTATCTTAGTCATGAGGCCCTTGAGTGGTGAGCACCTTGGACCCAACCCCAAGTCCTCAAGTTGGGAATTCCAATTACTCGAGGAGCCTGAGCAGAAAGGCAGGGAGGGCTGAAGGCTCATGATTCTGGCCTCACAGCTGAATGGCACTGAGGAAGTCCTCATGATCCGAGTCCTGGAGGAAGCAGGGTGAGGCTAGGGGACTAGGGGGCGAGAGGATCTGGGCTCCCAGGGCCAGCTGGGCCGCACTCAGCTCCCCACCTTTGTGCATGAGGTAGAGATGGAAGTGGAAACCCCTGCCATAGGTTCTGTGCCTCAGGGACCAGCCGTAATGAGCTTGGGCATAGTGCCTAGTCCGAAAGTGGGGGGCAGCACAGGTCAGTGAGATGAACCGGCCCCCAGGAACCAGCACCCGGCTCACCTGCAAGACAGACAAAGAAGCCGTCAGTGAAGAGGCCATCTGAAGGCCCTCGGAGGTCAGTACTGGCCCAGGTGCCCGCTTCAGCGGCAGGTACTGCCCTGGGCTTTCCCAGGGGATAGATCACTGGGGGTGGGTATAGTATTTTCAAGAACACAGTGAGCCCTGTCCCCTGCCCCCTGGCCATCCCATGAAGGTAGGAGCATGAGGGTGACTCAGGTACAGGGGGCACTGCTTTCCTGTCAACTGCTCACCCTCCCAGTCTGTGTCACCTGTCTGGTACCTGGCTGCTACCTCATCCCTACAGCAACTCAGTAGCCAGTCATTAGCCTATGTGAGCCTAGCCATCTAAATCCGTTACCATTGACTCGCTTCCAACTCATAGCAACCCTATAGGACAGAGTAGAACTGCCCCATAAGGGTTTCCAAGGAGCGGCTGGTGGATTTGAACTGCCAACCTTTTGGTTAGCAGCCAAGCTCTTAACCACTGCACCACTAGGGCTCCTAGCCACTCTAGTCCCCGCCAATCCTGACCCAGCTTAACCCTCTGCTTCCTTCAGGCCCACCACTTGGTCCAAACCATGCCCCCTACTGGCTTCTGAGTTCTTCTATTCTCCTGAAACCTCAACCCTTCATTCCCACCTGTCGGTCTGCCTTCCCCTCTTGTTGCTCCCTCACCTCACTCAGCACCTGGTCCATAGTGTGAACACCTTCAGAGGACACAGTCCAGGGATCCCGTTCCCCAGCGAGCAAGGCATCCAGCGTGCCCTTCTCGAGCACCACGTCGAAGGAGCCACTGGGGAAGCCCAGCGCCCGCACATCCATAGTCTCCCAGCGCAGCTTGGGCACATGGGCATAGCGAGCCCTCATGGCGGCCACCACTACTGATGAGTAGTCCACACTGGTCACATCAGGAAAGCCCCCAAGGAACAGCTCATAGCTCAGGGCACTGTTCCCGCAGCCTGGTGGGGAGAAGGGGGGTGGCAAAGGGCTAAGTTAGTTTTGGTTCTCAGCTTCCCCTGATCATCTATCCACTGTTGGCCCCATTTTCTCTAAGCCCAACATGAAGCTGTGCAGTACAGGAAAGAGTGTGAGCCTTGGAGTCACAGAGCACGGGTTCAAATCCTGGCTCTACCATTCCCAGTTGTGTGGACTAGGGCAAGTTGTTTGAATATGGGGAACTTGGATTTCCTATGCAGAAAAATGAAGATAACAATATTTTGCTTACATGCAGGATGTGGTGCACTAAACTGAAGAACTAAAACAGCTGGAGAGTAGCTGAAGGAGCTCTGAACCTAGAAGTCCAAACATCTGGGTTCTGATACCCCTAGTCACATGGCCATGGCAAGTCATTCAACATTTTGAGCCGCAGTTTCCTCAAACTCAGAATGAATGGGGAGTTTCGCTAGGACAGTGATATTATCAGGATAATAACATTACTGTTTGCTGTGGTTATTGTCGTGCCATAGAGTTGATTCAAACTCATAGCGACCCTGTAAGACAGAGTAGAACGGCCCCATAGGGTCTCCTAGGCTGTAACCTGTACGGGAGCACATCACCAGGTCTTGTCTCCCTCAAAGTGGCTGGTGGGTTCGAAACCGCTGACCTTTTGGTTAGTAGCTGAGCGCTTAATCACTGTGCCACCAAAACCCAAACCAAACCAAACCAGTTTCCATCAAGTCGATTCTGACTCATAGTGACCCTGCGGGACAGAGTAGAACTTCCCCATAAGGTTTCCAAGGAGCGGCTGAGAGATTTCAACTGCCGACCTTTCAGTTAGCAGTTGATCACTTTAACCACTGTGCCACCAGGGTTCCTTCAATGTTACTATTAGGATAATAATAACATTATTACTAGGATAATATCAGTATTACCCTAGTCCTTAACCTCTCAGGGATCCTCTGAAGATATCATCCCCGGGAAGGCTTGGTGTTAGGGGTTATTATCCTACTTTAATTTCCAAGACAGAATTAAGAAGTGAAGGGGAAACTAGGTGGGGACACGCACTGGAATCAGTCCCTTATGATTCCTTAATGTGTTTGCTGAGTACTACACATTGGGCTCCAAGAATGTCTGTGTATATGACCGTGTTTTCTCCCGACACACACACTAAATGTCCTCTCTGACTGCCATCTGCAGATGCAGTTCTTCTGACCCTGACCACTGGAGCATTCAGATCTCACAAGTTAAAAGGGACAGGACTCCAGACAGCAAAGTCTACCTAGCGCTTCAGAGGCCAGCCTCAAGCTTGGGGGTTCCCATGATACCCTCACTTACGACCTGCTGACTACAAATTTTAGAGTTCCCACTACCGCCTCAGGACACCGATTGTAAGCTTGGGGGAACCCAGGCCTTCTTCACTTCTGACCTACTGGTTATAAATTCAGGGTTCCCACTACCCCCTCGAGTTCAATAATTTGATAGAATGAGTGACAGAACTTAGGAAAGTGCTATACTTATGATTACAGTTTTATTATAGCAAAAGGACACAAAGAGATACATAAGGTGAGGTCTGGGAGGGTCCCCAACGTGGAGCTTCCATGTCCCGAGAAATGTATCACTCTAACATTGATGTCTTTCACCAACCAGGAAGCTCCACAAGCTTCAATGTCCAGAGTTTTTATTTGAGGTTTTCATTACATAGGCATGATTTATTGAATCATTGCATTTGTAGTTGAACTCAACCTCTAGCCCCTCCCCCCTGAGATCAGGCTGATATCAGCTGGTGGGTCTTTCTGGCGTGGCCAGCCCCAACCCAAGGGTCACGTCATTAACATAAACCCAATCACTGGAGAAATTCCAAGGGTTTAGTGGTTATCTCCCAGGAACCAAGGACAAAGACCAAGTTATCTGGGTAAAGTTAATTGTATAACCCCACAGGCTCTGATGACAAGTAAGAGCCCTGGCCCTCAAGGAAGTATGCCCTGGTGGGAGCAGCAGATCTATAACAGGCAGTTAGTACATAACCTGATGAGTGCTTCAACAGTGACAGGCCTCCTGAGCATAGGACAGCTCCTGGCCCCACCTAAGGTAAGTCGGCAAAGGGTTTCAGTCTTGTAGAATCACACAGTCTGGCAGGAAATGCCTGGAAAGCAGTCCCAAAGAGAGCAGGGTCAGGTTAGAGAAGATGTGGAGGTTAAAGAAGTGGATTTGGATCCACAGCCCAATAGGCGTGACCTCCTTAGATCTTTTGGCCTTTTCCAGGCCCTCCGTGGCCAGTCTAAGCCAGAGAACGGGTCTAGATGACAGCTCTTGGCAGCTCCATGTGGGGATCTCCAGCTCTTGGGATTAGGTTGCCTTTAATCTCCATTTGCCTCTCTGAGAGGATCACAGGCTCAGCTGCTGGGATAGCCCTAATCTAGCAGGGCTTGGCACACAGACAGGGCACCCAGAGGCAGCAGGCCAGTCTTTAGCTGCCCCTTCTCGTGTTCCTCCTCAGGCCTTGTGGCTCAGGGAGAGTACTCTCTCACCTGGGAAAGCCAACATGGGATTCTACATGTTAAGAGCCACAACAAGTTCTGACAGATACACCACATGGCAGTGGGGTGGGTGATGGCTGCCCAGAGGACCCTAACTCAGTTCCAGGCTGAAATCCCACTGGGTTCTCTGACCTGCAGTCCATTTACCATCCCCTGCCTGACCTCACATGCTCGCAGAGCGCTGCCAAATTGTAGACAACGCCAGGTCTCCTTTCCTTGTTCCCCTTGGAACAGGATGGCATCTTCCAAGAGGACTTTACAAAGATGAAGGGAGAACAAAACCAGACCACAGGGCCAGTCACCTCACAAATCAGCAATTTCTGACTCTGCTGCCTCAGTGATTTAGGGCCAGCAACTAAGATGGGCCTTGGGAAGGATCCTGCCCCCCCTAGATGGGGACTTAGGGCAGCAGAACCCTAAAGAATTGATCCAGATCCAGGAACTCATCATATGGGGGCCCCAAAGTATATGGATGCTAACCCAATACCAAGAGACTGAGGTATAAGCCAGAATGCCAATTCACTAATTTATCACAGTGAAATAGCCACTATGGGGACTGGACAATTGAATCCTCCAGTCAGTCCCTTCTCTCCCTATAAAAAATCACCAAACCTGTTGCCATCGAGTTGATTCTGACTCAGAGTGACCCTACAGGACACAGAGTAGAACGGCCCCATAGGGTTTCCAAGAAGCAGCTGGTAGATTCGAACTGCTGACCTTTTGGTTATCAGCCAAGATCTTAATCACAGCACCACCAGGGCTCCATCTAAACGAGAAGTCAAATTATGATCACAAGATTGCTATGGAGCATGGAGCCAAGCAAAGAGGGACGATCAGAGAAGTGTGACAGTAAAGCTGTGACGGCCAGATGCAGTCATCTGCCACAAGGATTCTAGCCACAGGGAGCAGACACGCAAGTCCCTGGGAAAGGTGCTCTGTTCTCGGAACAGTCTTGGATAAACTGCCTCTCTGACTCTGACTCCCACTTTCCGTAATAATAATAACAATAATTAATAATAGTCATTGAACACCAGAGCCTATGCTAAGCCTTCTGTACGAATTATCTGTTTATTTCACAGTTGTTATTGTTAGGTGCCATCAAGTCAGTTCCGACTCATAGTGACCCCATGTACAACAGAACAGTCCTGTGCCATCCGTGCCATCCTCACAGTCATTGCTGTGTTTGAGCCCACTGTTGCAGCCACTGTGTCAATCCATCTCTTTGAGGGTCTTCCTCTTTTTCGCTCACCCTGGCTCCATAGATATTATTATTACATTCCCATTTCCTAGGTGAGGAAACTGAGACTGCCCAAAGTGGAAAAAGAACTTTCCCCAGGTTACAGGGTCATTGGTAGAGACGGAATTTGGACCTAGGTCAGGCCTGTCTAACTCCAGAACCAGAGCTGTTAAACCACTATGCTAAATTGCTTCCAGTTTTCCAGAGGCCCACTCACCTTCAGTGACGACATTCCATCTCAAGTTATATCAACATGACCATTAGGCTCTAATTCACAATGTGGTCGTTTTACCAATTTCAACAGAGTTCTCGATGCCCCTCTGTGTTGTCTCCACCCCATCATCATGGTTTAACAGGGGAAGAGGAAGCTCTGGAGTTGGAAGATACCCCCACTCCACCACTTACTCCCTGCATGACTGTAGGGGACACTCAGTGCTCTGCCAGATCCCCTTGGGTCCCTTTTACTGTGTATCCCCAGGTTTTGATATGTATTTGCTTCTAACAGTCTGCACCTGTGACTCTTCAGTGGAAACTAACCTTTTTATTTGCCAAGCATTGTTCTAGGTATCTCTTGTTCTCATGCAATCATGTGAACAACCTCAAAAATAAATACTTGTTTCTTTAAGGCTGAGAAAACAGCGGCACAGAAATTTAGGTATCTTGTTCATGCTTACATAGCTAGTGTCAGCAGAACCAAGATTCCAACCTAATTAGCTGCCTCCAGAGTCTAAGTTCTCAACCACTAGGTTAACTTCCTCTTATACTAGGAGAAGCCCTGCTGGCACAGTGGTTAAGAGCTCAGCTGCTAACCAAAAGGCTGCTCCTTGGAAACCGTATGGTGCAGTTCTACTCCGAGTCACTATGAGTGCAATTGACTGGATAGCAATGGTTTGGTTTTGATTTTTAGTACTAGGAATGTTCTATTTCCCAAACTGAGTAGGGTATACACTCCTATTAGGTTTATTATCTATACCTTACATATATACTGTATTATAGATGACTTTTATATTTATGAAATATTTCATTGCATAATGGTTTTTGCAAGGAAAAAAATTAAAACTAAGACTGGAAGGTAACCTGTCCCTCAGTCCAAACTCCCTAGAAGCTCGGAGGCTGGCAGTGGGAGAGAACCCCGAGGGAGCCGCTGCACCTCAGAGACACACCTTGCACCCCGCATTTCTTCCCTTCGGGGGAATCGCGCCAATCTCGACTGCAATCTCCCCTGCGGCCACAGGGGGCGCTGTTCTACCCCCTCACAGCACACGGGGCGGAGGACCAAGCGTCAGGATTCGCGGAGTGCCGAGATGGCAGCCCTCTCTAGGTGACAATGGCTCCTGGTTCCCATGGGCACAAAAGGAAACACGCTAGGTTTTGTGCTCGAGGTGTCCGCACGTGCCTTACCCATCCTGAGCTCGCAGTCCCACTTCTACAGATGAAGAATACGAAGCTCAGAACAGGTTCACGACTTGTCCTAAGTCGTACAGCCAACTAGCGCTGGGACTTGAACCAGGTCCCCCGAGCTCCCCGGTGCCCGAGGCTGCTTCCCGCGGGTCTGGAGCAAAGTCCTGGGTCACGCCCCACACTCAGACCCAGAGTTTCTCCGGGGGGCCCCCAGACTGAGAATCTCTTGGTTCCTGTTTGCCCTGGCTAAATCCGACCAAGATTCTGAAGGTGCCGGATCTTGGCTTGGGACCGCGACGGGCAGAAGGAAGGTGGACCGGGCCAGGCCGGGGCGGCCCGGGCCAGCCAGCTCCACCCGGGCGGGGCAGCGCCGGGACTACCCACCTAGCACGAGGATCCGGTCCTCCGGCCGCAGCTCCGGCTCCAGAAGGGCACGGAAGGAGGAGAAGTCTCCGAACCACTCGTAGGGGGCAGAGTGGGCAGCGTCCCGGTAGCGCTGGTCCCAGTACTGGAGCTCACGGTACCCGCAGTTCCGCTCCGGTAACGCCGGCAGGGGCGGCGGAGCCCCGGGAGAACCCATGCAACAGCGCGGGCGAGGCCAGTAGGGCACCGGGCCGGCTCTCTTGGGCTTGGCGCCCCTTCCGAGCCAATGGGGATGCGGGAGCGTGGGGGCGGGGCCTCGGTGACCACGCCACCCGCTCGCGGTTGCTCAACACAAACACGTGGAACTTCCGTCCCCCGCTGAGCGCTCCTATAAGAACCCTCCGGCTCGAAAAATGAGATTTTCCAGACTCTGGACTGTCCCCTCACCTCTGAGGGCCACACTCACGGTGACAGACTCAGCAGGCCCCTCACTGTCCTCTCTCATATTTTTAGTCAGACTGTCCCCTTCTATTAAGAAGTCTGAAAACTAAGGAAAGATTCATTTCTTCCCAAACCGTTTTGAGCACCTGGAAGGCTCTGAGGGATGGCGAAAGGGGCGCAAACACGGTCCTTGCCATCCAGGAAAGACCCGCGTGAACACATATTCCCAACAGGGGCGAAGTGTGATGCTGGGCTGGGGTAGGGGAGCAGAAATGTTCCTTTTTTGGTAAACGTCCATTCCACGACGTTAGCTGTGCGCCCAGGGCTGGGTATGTACTCAGGAGTAAGACTTGGTTGCTGCTGACACAGAGAGTGCAGTCCATCCGGGGAGACGTGTGGAAGAAGTAAGTTTTAACGGGGTAAATAATGACTGACAACTCGGCTTAGCGGTCAAGGCCGGCGGGGACGCCGGTCGGGGAGCGGAACCTAAGTGCTCAAGGGTCGAGTTTCCTGAGTGGCGGGCCCGCTCGAACGGCGCACCGTCAAGATGGCCGCTGGGCTGCGGAAACGCGGCCGGGTTGGTGCCGCGGCCCGGGCAGCGGGTCTCTGCGAGCAATGGCTGCAGCGCGCCTGGCAAGAACGGCGCTTGTTGCTGGTGGAGCCGCGCTACACGCTGCCGGTGGCCGCCTGCCTCTGCCTAGCGGAGGTGGGCATCATCTTCTGGGTCATTCACAGGGTGGCATGTGAGTGCGCCGAGGGGAGGGGAAGGGGAGGAGTGGGAGGGGACTCGAACCCCCAAGCCAGACTGGGACCCAGACACGTTCATTCATCGACTGCAGATTCAGATCTCTTACCTGAGCCCTAAGCCTGTTCGACAGAAACTAATCCCTATCCTGATTCGGCCCCCATAAGGGAAGGGGGCGGCCGTAGAGCTGGGCCCTCTGCCTGAACATACAGACTGTCAGGCCAAGAAAGCCAGCCTGGCAGTCAGAAGACCCGAGTCTGAGTTAATGTATTGCTGCTACTGCCTGTTTTGTGGCTTTGGGCAAGTCGCTTCCCCTGCTGAGTCTCAACTTTCTCACCCGTTGAATTCTGTGGCCTCAAAATCTCTTCTCAGCGCTGGCGTTTCTTGACCATTGGAGTCCATTGGCGATTTTCCTTCCAGGCTGAATCTAGCTTTGATTTACTTTTCTGACTTCCCTATTTGGGTTGATATCTGGTGGTTCTGACCTGTGTTCTAGTCTTGGCTTGTTATCTGATGTTACTGATTTTCTAGCCAGAGGGCTCCATTTAGTATTTCTTGTAATTTTGGTTTGGTTTTTGCAAATTCCCTACACTTCTGTTTATCTGGAAATACCCTAATTTCGCCATCATATTTGAGAGACAGTTTTGCTGTGTATGTAATTCTTGGCTGGCAGTTTTTTTTTTTTTTCCTTCAAGGCTTTATATATGTCATCCCATTGCCTTCTTGATCCTCCAGGCTGAATCTAGACACTGGGCTTAAGGCGCCTACCTTTCTTGTAAAGGCGATTACTTCAACACCTATTTCTATGCCTAACACTATGCTGGGTGCTAGGGGTACAGTGGTGAATAAGGCAGATGTGTTTCTACCTTGAAGGCCTGGCCCTTGACAAAAATAAGTTAGCAAGCCATTACAGCACCTCATGTTTATCATGACAGTAAAAAGACAGTGCAGTAAAGGACATAGGAGGGGCAGTGAGGCCAGACCTGAGGAGTCAGAGGAGGCTTCCTAGAACCCCTTCCCCTCCCCCCGCCCCTTGAAAGGTAGGAGTTAGCCTGTTGAGGAAAGAGGAGAAAGACAAGGAGAACAGTGCTGTGGTCAGAGAGGATTCTTTTTCAGAAACTTCCAGTCACAAGAGAGAGCCTGATTGCTTTGATAGATTGAGATTGAGATGCCTGGCGTCACCTGGCGAGAGATGGTGGATAGGCAGTTCGATGCATGGCTGGGAACTTACAGAAGAGTGCTGGGCTGAGGATGTAGACATTGCAGTTACTGACAAAGGGATGGCGAGGGAAGCCCTGAAAATGAGCTGGAACTGTGATGGGCTGGAGGTGCGGGGGCAGCCACGTTCTGGGTTTGGAAGTAACCAGACCATCCTGTCCACTTTCAGACACAGAGATTGACTGGAAGGCCTACATGACCGAGGTGGAGGGTGTCATCAACGGCACCTACGACTACACGCAACTGCAGGGGGACACTGGACCTCTCGTGTGAGTATGGATAGGAGGCGTGGGAGGACCGGGACACTGGACCTCTCGTGTGAGTGCGGATAGGAGGCGTGGGGAGGACCGGGACACTGGACCTCTCGTGTGAGTATGGATAGGAGGCGTGAGGAGGACCGGGACACTGGACCTCTCGTGTGAGTGCGGATAGGAGGCGTGGGAGGGCCGGGACACTGGACCTCTCGTGTGAGTATGGATAGGAGGCGTGGGAGTGCCGGGACACTGGACCTCTCGTGTGAGTGCGGATAGGAGGCGTGGGGAGGACCGGGACACTGGACCTCTCGTGTGAGTATGGATAGGAGGCGTGGGAGGGCCGGGACACTGGACCTCTCATGTGAGTGCGGATAGGAGGCGTGGGGGGCCGGGACACTGGACCTCTCGTGTGAGCGCGGATAGGAGGCGTGGGAGGGCCGGGAGAGACTGGCTGGGTGCCAGCCTGGGTGGCCTGACCGGGGCTCGTGCTCTCATCTCCCAGGTACCCGGCGGGCTTCGTGTATATCTTCATGGGGCTGTACTATGTCACTGGCCGGGGCACGGACATCCGTGTGGCCCAGCACATCTTTGCCGTGCTCTACCTGGCCACCTTGCTGCTTGTCTTCTCCATCTACCACCAGACCTGCAAAGTGAGCCCACCCCACGAAGGCCCAGGGGCCCAAACCTGGGAGGGCCAAGGAGTATAGATGGCTCAGGCCTGGTGAGCTGACCTTGTTCCCCACCCCACTGCCTGCTCCTCAGGTACCTCCCTTCGTCTTTTTCTTCATGTGCTGTGCCTCCTACCGTGTCCACTCCATCTTTGTGCTGCGGCTCTTCAATGACCCCGTGGCTATGGCGCTGCTCTTCCTCAGCATCAACCTCCTGCTGGCCCAGCGCTGGGGCTGGGGCTGCTGCTGTTTCAGGTCATAACCCCTCCCTTCTCTGTTTCCATCTCTGTCTCCCCCGTTTTCCGCAGCAGATGGAGTAAGGGGGTAGCCAGGGTTGGCCTGTCAGGATCTGTAGATAGGCCCCCAACGCCCACGTGCGTATCCTCTTCCTGACCTCCAGGCGGCATCCCTGGTTGGCGATGGGCCTCAGGTGCTGAATACTCAGTATCTATCTGCTCGCTCTGTCTGGGCATAGAGACCAGGCATCTGACCCTCTCCCCGCTCCCAGACTGCCTTCCCCTCCCCCTGGCAGCTCTGAGTGTGGGCCTCTACCTTGCTGTGGTGATGGCAGGGGTCATCTTTGGGCGGGGTGCAGAGCCCGGAGCTGACCCCCTCCCCTCCCCACCCCAGCCTGGCGGTCTCGGTGAAGAGGAACGAGCTAGCCCCCTCCCCTTTCCCCCTCCCCCCTTGCTGTGGTGATGGTGGGGGTCATCTTTGGGTGGGGTGCGGAGCCCGGAGCTGACCCCCCCTCCCCCCGCAGCCTGGCGGTCTCGGTGAAGATGAACGGGCTGCTCTTCGCCCCCGGGTTGCTCTTCCTCCTCCTCACGCAGTTTGGCCTCCGTGGGGCCCTCCCCAAGCTGGGCATCTGTGCTCTCCTTCAGGTACCCCCACCTCGTCCCTCCTTCAGGTACCCCACCTCGTTCCTTCCCTTTCTAGTGAAGGGAAAGCTGCTTTGCCTGGCCTCCTTCCTCCATCCCCATGACGGCCTCAGAGCCAAGAGACAGGGAGGGAGTTTTGGAGCTGATTCTGGGCTGGGCAGCCACTACCTCTGGGCTTCGGTTTCCTTAGCTGTGAAGTAAAGGTGTGAACTAGGCGGCCTCTGAGGGCCCTTCTGGCTTTGTGCATTTGTGACTGAGCGAATCCAAATGTAAAATGTGGTTACGACTTGCCTCCTCAGCATCTTTGGACCCAGGCTCTGGCCTCGGGGTGGTGGGGTGGGGTCGGCTTTCCTGCCCTTCCTGGTGGAAATCAGGGAACCCCTGAGGCTTGTGCCCACTCCCACTCCCCTCAGGGTTGACCCAAAGGTGGGGGGGTGAGCCTGGACAGCTGCTGACCTGACGCTCACCCCAGGTGGTCCTGGGGCTGCCCTTCCTGCTGGAGAACCCCACCGGCTACCTGTCCCGCTCCTTCGACCTTGGCCGTCAGTTTCTCTTCCGTTGGACGGTGAACTGGCGCTTCCTTCCCGAGGCCGTCTTCCTGCATCGTGCCTTCCACCTGCTCCTGCTGGCCGCCCACCTCACCCTGCTCTTGCTCTTTGCCCTCCACAGGTGGCACAGGTAGGAAAGGGGGCCAGGCCATGGGCAGATCTGAGGGGAAGGAGTGAAGGACCTAGGCCTCAGGGGCTGCTTAGGGGTGATGTTGAGCTCTTGGGGCTGAGTCTAGAACTTGGCCCACGATGAGGGCTTGACATATGTCTAAATGCCTTCTCCTCAGGACAGGGGAAAGCATCCTGTCGCTGCTGAAGGATCCTTCCAAAAGGAAGGTCCCACCCCAGCCCCTCACACCCAATCATATCCTTTAAATCGTGGGAAGGTAAGCATTGCCCTCTCCCAGTGCAGAGACTGGGCCTGGTTAGTTAACCCCGATGGCGGTGACCCTGGGGGAGGGAAAGGGAGGCACCAGTTATGGCTCCGGGCCCATCTGTAGAGCCCCTGGTCTGCACCAAACTCTGCTGAGTGCTTTACATATTTAAGCATTTTTATTCTTAATCCTAAATAGTCCATAAATTAATAAGCTACCATTAAAACCAAAAACCAAACCCATTGCCTTTGAGTTAATTCTGATTCATAGCGACCCTACAGGACAGAGTAGAACGCCCCCATAGGATTTCCAAGGAGTGGCTGGTGGATTCAAACTGCCAACCTTTTGGTTAGCAGCCAAGTTCTTAACCACTGTGCCACCAGGGCCCCAGTGACCCCATAGGTCCCATTAATAGCTACCATTATTGAGTGCTCACCCTCTGCCAGGTACTGTCCTAAGAGATGTCTATACATTCTACCTATTTTTTTTTACTGTGGTCAATATACACGTAACAGAACATTTGGCATTTTGACAGTCTTCACATGTACCGTCAGTGACGTTAGCTAGGTTCATCGTGTTGTTCAGCCACCCCCCTTATCTGTTCCCGGATTATACCGTCCCCCGTAACAGGAGCTCAGGTCCCCTCAGCATTGAGTCCTCCTTTCCCCCGCCCTCCTGCCTGCCCCTGGTAACCACTGATAAACCATGGTCTCTGTACACTTGCTTATTCTAGATACTCCATTTGTCAGCTTGTGACTGACTGATTTCAAGGCTCTTCCATGGCGTAGCGGGTATCAGGACTACATTTCTCTTTATGCCTGAGTACTATCCCATTGTGTATACAGTCTAACGTTTAAAGCTCTGAGATAGAGAGCTACCCAGATTATTCCCATTTTACAGATGGCAAAGTTAAGGCATTAAGGGGTTAAATAACTTGCCAAGGTCACACAGCTATTAAGTGACAGATTCAAACTCAGTAGGCATCACGGCCCTAGGTATTACTGTCTCCTTATTAGATGGATGAGCAGGTCCAGAGAGGTTCGGAAACGTACCCAAAGGCACGCAGTTATGAAGGGCAGAGTCGGGGCTATTCCAACCCCCAAATTTTTGCCTCTCTGCTTTGGGACTGCCCCTCCCCCACCTCCTGCCTCTTCTGCCCCTGCCCTTGGCCTTGACCACCATGTACAGATTGTTTCTGCTCTCTTCACCTCCAACTTCATTGGCATCTGCTTCAGCCGCTCCCTCCACTACCAGTTCTATGTTTGGTATTTCCACACGCTGCCCTACCTCCTGTGGGCCATGCCTGCACGCTGGCTCACACACCTGCTCAGGTATGGCTGGGCCAACCTGGGGGCATGGGAAGGGCTGGGGGTTCCTCATCTCAAGTTTGTGACAGGGAAGGGGTGGAGGGATGTGTCCAGGACATGAGGAACCAAAGGGCTACAGGCCCAGGAAGTGGGCACAACCCGGGCCCTGGTTTTCCTCCCCAGGTTGCTGGTGCTGGGGCTCATCGAGCTCTCCTGGAACACATACCCATCCACATCCGGCAGCTCTGCTGCCCTGCACGTGTGCCATGCTGTCATCCTGCTGCAGCTCTGGCTGGGGCCCCAGCCTTACCCCAAGGGCATCCAGCACAGCAAGAAAGCCCCCTGAAATCCACCCCCTCCCCTCAGGCCACTGAGGACCCTGAGTGGGGATGGACTCTGTGCCCTTCCAATAAACTGCATGAAGTCCACGTCTGTGCAGCCTACCCTGAGGGCGTGCCTGGGCCCGATAAAGCACTCACTGGCAGTCCTCGGAGGCACTTTATTGCATAGGATCTGGGGCTGTGGCTCTCTCCCCTGCGGCCGCTGCACTGCATGGAGCTGGAGCGGGAGGGGACTGGACCGGCGGAGCCAGAGAGAGCATGGGCAGGCACTTTCTGTGGGGGGAGAACATTCTGGGAAGGGGGTGAAAAGCAGTCGGGGGCAGGCCCAGCGGCCCACCCTTCCCAGCACTGAGAGGCCGGCCCTGGGTGGCAGTGAGGTGGTCTGCTGGGTGCTGGGCAGTCCCGGCCACGGCAGCCCTCAGACGTTGGCCGGGCTGTAGCACAGCAGGTGCAGCTGGAGGTTCTGGTCCCAGTGGCGCAGCAGCAGGAAGAGCCCGCGGGCCGCCGCCTTGAGGGCTGCCACGTCGAGGCCATCGGGCAGGTGCTGGGCCCGCAGCCAGCAGTCAGCCTTGGCCGCCGCCAGCTCCCACTCCCCAAAGGCGGCGGCACAGCGGTGCTCCAGCCACGCGAGGGCCACGGCGGTGGCCCAGCTGCGGCCCCGCAGGTCGGTGCGGCCCGGCCCTTCCGCTCGCTCCGAGGCCTCCGTGTCCGAGCCCCGGCCGCTGTCTACCTGGCCTGGGCCCTCGGAGCCCGAGCTGGGGGAGGGGCTGCAGGAAGCCGTGGCGCTGTCGCCCTGGCCCACTCCAGGGCTCAGGAGGGCCCAGGGGGACGAGGCCGAGGTGGGGCTGAGGCTGGCACGGTGCGCGGCGAAGGGCGAGGCGCGGCACAGGCGCTCCTGCGGAATGCGTACGGCGGCGCAGAAGGGCGCGTCCAGGCGGAAGGAGCCGGCGGCCTCCTGCAGCCGCACCTGAGGAGAGAGGAGGTGGGGGGAGAAGCGAGCTGAGACAGCGCCCTGGCCCTGGCGACGCCACCCTCCACCTCCCGAGTCCTCACCAGGGGCAGGTAGTCGTGGCCGTTGCCTGCAGGGTGGGTGTCGGCCGCCAGGCCGGGGTCAGGGCCACAGAGGCTGCGGCTGTCGGAACCCTTGGCCCTCCGCCGGCCCAGGCCGAGCCTAGAGGGAGGCTGGGGGTACGGACAGGGAGGACCAGCAGTGGGGGCTGCAGGGTCATCCACCCCGGACTTGGAGTTGCCATTCTGGTCTGGATCCCAGGCGCCTGCTGAAGAGCCTCCTTGCAGCCCTGCAGTGGGACATCAGAGCCAATGGGTGCTCTCTAAGCCAGGTTGCCCCACCCTTTCCCCAAATTCGGGCGTTACCTTTGGAGTGGGAGACTGTGGGCAGAGGGGCTGCATCTAGAGAGCCCTGAGAGGCAGGAGGGGTGCTGTGGAGCTGGCCTGGCTCTGCTGGGACACAGGAGACAAGGGGTCAGGCTTGCCCTGGAGGTGGCCAGTGAGGCAAGGGCCCACATCTGAGAGGTCACCAGGGGAGGGACCCTACCTGAGCTCCACACCTGCAGGGCTCCAGGCAGGACCTCCCGAGTGGTAGCATCCACTGCTACAGGGCAGGTGAAGCAGGACGGGGCACAGCTGACCTTGCTTGTCTGGAGGGCTCGAAGCCAGGACCTCCGGGCAGGGCCTGTGAAACCAAGGAGCAACCTGCTGGACAACAGGGGGGCACTCCCACCGCCAGGCGCTCAGAGGGCTTCACAGAAGAAAATGTCAGCCCTCCCCACAGCTTTCCTGTCCATCTCTGAACAGACTGGGGTAACTTCTCAGGCCCAGAACTGGCTCAGACTCTACAACTTTGACAAGAAGTGGTCAGGCTGAACCCACAACCCACAACAGCCCACCCCAACTGCCCACCCCCCAGAAATTCAACAATCTGGACCCGAACCAGAGAAGGCATTGACTCTGGTAGCTGTTCTGTCCACCCCTTTCAGCACTGTCCCATAGAACTTTCTGTGACGATGGAAATGTTCTATGTGCCATCCAATATGGTAGCCACTAGTCTCGTGTGACTGTTGAGCACTTGAAATGTGGCTAGCGAAACTGAAGAGCTGAGGGTTTAACAGTCTTCTTGAACAACAGATTGGTTTTTTATGTCACAGGCACTGTGAATCATTACAGGATCCTGTTTTCCTCTGTTCTGGCTGCTAGGAAGCTCGCCAGTTTTGGGTCCCACGCTTAGCAAGGGTACATAACCTCATGGCGTGATGTTTAACATAACCTCATTTCTAGCTTCCTCTTATTTTCCCTTTTCCCATTACCTTGCTTAATTTTTTATCTTGTCAATGTGGGCGAGCCACCTCAAAGCCTTTCCGAGCAAGGTGAGGTATAGAGAGTGATCAAGCACACAGACCCATCCTTCTGGCATTCTCTGCCCCCTGCAGGCCCGTAGGCCCCGACTGGGCCCACCAGCAGCTCACCTCGGTCAGCTGTGGTTTCAGGCCCTCCTCGGAGAGCCAGCTGTTCATTGTCCTGGATCACGGAGGCCGCCGTCAGCCGGTGGAGTGCTTGGTCCCAAGCAGTTTCTCTTTCAGAGGGTGATGGAGGCTGTGATCCATCCCCAGGCCCCCACAGCGTCTCCAGCCCCACATCTACCTCCCAGCACAGAGGCTGCCCGCCACACAGGCCCCGGATCACCACATGGCAGTAGGGGGCCTGGGGAGGCACTGGCGCTGCTGGAGGGGCTGAGTCCCCATTAGGGGACACAGCCGTGAACAAGAAAGGTGGGTCCATCAACATGTCCCAGTCCATGGGGGCTGGGGAGAGGAGGTTTCCTGGGGAGAGAGGACAGCAGGGGTGGGGACAGTGTGGTGCCCTGGGCTCCACCTCCCCAAGGCCACCATGGTGTCGGGGAGCTCAGCTCCTCACTGACCCTCACCTGAGTCATCCAGGCCCTGTCCCAGCTGCTGCCCTGGCTCGGGGCCTCGCCCATCTGGCGCTGTACCCAGAGAGGGGTGCCGGGGGTGGCCGAGGGCTGGGTTGGCCCGGCCTGGGGGCGATGAGAGGCTTCGGTGAGCCAGAACTGCTCGGCGCTGATGGCCCAGCACCTCAGCACTCGAGGCTCCAGCCTGCATGCGGAAGTGGGGCCGTTGGTCAAGAAGTATAGCACTTCTGGCCACCGGATACGTACGTGGCTGTTCACCTGCCCCTTTGCCTGAACTCCTGGATGGCTGCTCACCACCCTTAGGAGGAAGACCAAGCTCCTTACGGTCTACAAGGACCTCTGGTCCTTGGTCCCCTCTGCAGAGTCATCTCAGTCCACTTCCCATTTCACACCTGAGGCTGTTGCTTGTCTCTCTGTTTCTGTGCGCGTCCTCTCCCTCTTAGCCTAGCTAACTTCTGCTTACTCTTCCAGACATGGCTTTAGTTCCAGCTTTCCGAAGAAGCCTTTCCCGACTCCCCCAAACAGGGCTAATCACCCTGACCCTGAGCCCCCCAATACCTTGTGCACGTGCTCATCCTGACTGCCACATGGTATCACCGTTAGAGATTTACCCGTCTGTCTCTCCAGCTAGGCGTAATGGGAGCCGCCACATGATGTCTGGCACATGTTGTGTGTGCTGTCGAGTTGATTCCGACCCATAGCAGCCCTGTATGACAGAGTAGAACTGTCCCATAGGGTTCTTTCCTAGGCTGCAAACTTTACAGGAGCAGATTGCCAGGTCTTTTCTCCTGCGGGGCCACTGGTTCGAACCCCTGACCTTTCGGTTAGCAGCCAAGCGCTGCTGAATCTCACCTTGAATGAAGCCGCTGCGGGTGCAGGCAGGGGGCAGGAGCGAGTACCTGCAGGTTCTACCCAGGCTAGGCTGCAGCAGCCCTGCTGAGAAGGGGGCTTCGGGGGAGCACTGCCCTCAGGGGAGCAAGGGCCCTGGGAGCAAGGGGATTCACTGCTGCCGGTGGAGCCCGGGCCGGGCTCGGGGCTGGCAGAGCAATGGGTGAGCACGTACTGCTCCCGGATGTACGAGGACTGGAAGATGCGGCGCCAAATGGCTGTGTCAGAGGACGGGTTGGGTCCGGGGTCTGTGGCTGGGTCTGTCAGAGCATCAGTACCTGCTGGGAGGCAAGAGAACGGACCGCAGCCCTGGCCTCATCCACGCCTACTCTTCCTCTAACACAGCCCCACACATAACACCCAGACACTCACTCTGCTCTGAGTCCCCAGCAGCCCATGGACTGGTCAGCTCTGCTGACACAGTGCCTGCTCCCAGTGGCTCTGTAGTACCAGTGGGCTCGGTGCCAGGGCTGGTGGCAGATGGCTCCTCCTCTGGGGATGGGAACATGGAGCCGCCCAAGCTCTGCCAGCTGGGTTCTTGGCCCTAGGGAGAGAACAGTTATTGAAAAAAATATGATTGTAGGTGTACACTACAGCTTTCCAAACAGGATTTGAGATGGCTCAGAGCAAGAAGCAATAAAGTTAATAAACCTGAAATGAAAGACCAGAACTAAGGAAGGAGAAAGCAAACGTGCTAACCGTAAGGGTTTAACAGAGCTGCTCTGACTGAGCTTAGGGTTTGGCTCTGAGCTTCCTGGCAGCCAGCCAAAGAGGGAAACATGGTCTGTTACACAGCTCTCGTTGGTCAAGAAGTATGCTTCCAAGGAGGAAGCATGCTTAGTTCCTCTAGAGAAAGAAAACTTTTCCTAATAAAAATAACTGCCATTTAGCAAGCTCCTACTGTGTGTCAAGTACCCTACCAAGAGGGCTCGTGTTATGACCTCTAATTACAACAACCCTATGGGGAAAAGTGTACAGATGAGGAAATGCACCCAGAGAGGTTAAGTGATTTCCCCAGAATGAAACAGCTAGTAAGTGAAAAGGCTGGGGTTTGAGCTTTCATCTCTGCTATGCTCCACCTGTCACGGAATGTTACAGGAAATACGTTAGATGGTGCTTCCTTCAGGGCATGGCACGAAGCACCCAGCGACAGCTTTGACAGAAACCTGACAGCAAGTGCTGGAGCTGTTTCCTGTGGCTGCGCGCTATGGTCACCTTTCAGAAAAGCCAAGGGTGGCACTTCACAGGACAACTCAGTGGAAGGCCCCGTGAGGGGGGCGGGATGCAGCCCCTTGGGGGCCCAGCATGATCTCTGGGGAGGCTTAGGGGATGGTAGGGTGAGCTTGTCAGAGAGAGGCACAGGAATGGAGAGACGCAGGGGCTTCAGCCACGCCAGTGGACCCTCCTACACCCCAGCCCAGGCCTACCCCAGGCGGGCAGGGCCGGAAGCCATCCACCCTGAACAGGGAGCAGTAACCGAGCAGCCGGTCCCCGGGGTACAGTGCCGGGATCTCCCGGGGTGTCAGCAGTGCCTCCATAGCATCCGGCACGAACCAGTCCACAGAGATGTCACTCAGAGCAGGCTCCAGTGCCTTCCGCAGAGCCCGCACCAGCTGTGGGGGGTAGCCAGGATGGGGACATGGGAGAGAACGAGGTGTCACACAGCTGGACAGAGCGGGAAGGCCACCCAGCCCCTGGGCTGTTAGGGAGCGGGGCCGGGCTGGGGTCAGGAACAAGCAAAGGGACTGGGTGCTTGAGTCCTCGGATTTGGTCTCTCTCCTGGGCTGAGCCTTGCCACACGGGTGAGGCAGTGCTTTTCAGGGATATGTCTCAGATCTGGGTCAAAACTGTAAGATCTGGGGGTGGTCGGAGACCATCTCCCGCCTCAACCTCTGGCCTCCTACAGCACCCCAGCAGCACCAGCAGCTCCTCCCCTGACTCGTATCGGGAGGGGAGGGACTGGAGGTGGGGAGTCCTGGCCAGGGTGTCAAGAGACCCTGTGGCCTGACTGGGTTGTGTTTCAGATTCCATGTGTAGCTTGGGAGGACTTCCAGGAGGAGGGAACAGGGCCGGGGCTCAAGCTCACCATGGGCTGCAGCCTCTCCCCGGGGCTCAGGAAGTAGGCCTGGCCTCGGCTGAGCGCTGACAGACCCTGCAGCAGCCGGTGGCAGGCGGACCCCAGCCCAAAGGAGAAGCACCTGTCAAGGGAAGAGAGGCACCTGTGGCCTACAGGAGCCCCCTGGCTGGGGGCCAGCCTTGGGCACCCAGCTCTACTCCCTCCATACCTGGCTGTCCCCCTGTGCCACCGCATGAGCTCCAGAGCTCGATGGGTAGTGGCAGGCGCGGGCGAGGCGCCTGTGAGCAGGAACAGCTGCCGAGGGTGGGCCCTGTGCTGGGGCTGCCCCATGGCCCAGTCCAGCGCCGCCAGCACATCTGGGGGGCTGCCAGCAGCCTGCAGGCCCTCAGTGCTCCCACAGATGAGCTGCACGGTGTCCTGGAAGGAGAAGCCACGGGCTGGGCCGCGCTGGGGGGAACGTCTCGTTAGGCCCCCACGCCCCTGGACCTCACTCACATCACTGCACCGTCGGCTCTCTGGAAAGAGGGGCTGCACGGATGTGCCAAACGTGGCCAAGTTGATGAGCGTCTGGGGCGGGAGGGACTTCACTGCCAAAACAATGGCGTCCTGGGGAGGGCCAGGAGGGAGGGCAGCATGAGGCAGGCTCTGGGAGAAAGCCGGGGTGGCAGGCTGCGTGCCCCTCCAATGAGGGCTGGATGAGCTAATCTGGGGAAGACCCATGTGTGACTCTGTGACACTGAGGTGTGTGTGAGAAAGACTGAGAGAGCCTAGGTGCGGGAGGACTCTGGTGGTGTGCCATGGAGACTCGGGGTATGGGGGGGACTTGGTGTCGGGGGGACTCTGGTGGTGTGCCATGGAGACTCGGGGTATGGGGGGAGACTCAGGGTGTCGGGGGGACTCTGGTGGTGTGCCATGGAGAC